TTGACCGTGTACGCTCCTATGTTTATTTGATGTGTTCCCCTTATTTTTATTTATATATATATATGTTACAGAGATTCTAATTTTCATTGGATTTACTATTGCTTATATATCGTTTTTATTCTATTTATTGAGATATATGGTAATAAGTCATATGATGGCAGTCTCTGCCCCTGGGCTTGCTTGAGACAGCCCACATTTATTCCTAACACCAGCATTAGTCAGCTTATATAAGAGAAGTGCAGACTCTTGGAGTGTTGGCTCTGAGGAAGAGGCTGAGTCCTTGAAACACGTCAGCCAGTTGGTCATCCAGGGTTCCATCGTTGTGGACTCAGATGCTATATGGATTGAACACCATTGTTCATTGTGATGTGCCTGTGTTTTACATGTCCATTGTGAGTATGATACCTACTTTTTTATTCTTTCAATAAATATTTTAAATGATCAAATACCACCAAAAGACAGCTCTATTTGTGGGGGAAAAGGGAGTAAATTTCATTTGGGTGCAGCTTTGCATGACCGCAAAATTGTCAGTTAAAATAGCACAACGCCGTATCGCAACAAAATGGCCTGGTCAAGAAGGAGGGTAAATCCTCTGGAGGGCAAGTGATTAATATCACAATGCTTAGTCATAGGACTTGAGCAAAATTTAAATTGAATAAATAAAGTCCCCTACCACCCAAGCCTGTTGAAAAGAGGTGCAGGTCTTACCCAATAGCCAGGGCCATTTCGCTACATGAATTTAAATCTAAATTAAACAGATCAAGACCAATGTCAGAGAGATGAATGTAATCCTGCCTATATAAACCAGGAACATCTCCTTCAAGATCATTATAATGGTACGGCATAAATTTCTCAATGGATCTGTTAATTTGTCTCCTGTTTCTCTCCAACAGTTTTCAATGGGATGATAAGAACCATAAGTGGCGAGGCAGACTCTCAGAAAATATTGTTGTTTGCGGAAAAGACGTTAAACTGCTGCAAATCCCTTTTCATTGCAAAAAGCAAATCTAAAGTCTTAAGGTGAGCAATATCATTTTTGACATAAAATAATAATAGGAATAAAAGGATATGGCCACAATGTGCATAACATAGAAAGCTGAAAATAAAGATTACACCATCCTAATCCTCAAATACCTTTTCAAAACATCTGAAAATAATCTGTCGGTAAAAAAAGATTTACAGAATGACACCTTTGTGATGCTCATTTGTGAGCCCAGAAGACATAGAGTGGTTTACCTGCGAAATTAAAAAAAAAAAAAGGTTAGGATGCACATATAAATTAAAACGATAAGATTTCCATCTTCCCATTTTTTGATGATATAACCATCCAAACCTGATCTGGCTTCTTCTGATGCAGTAAAAATTCCAAAGGAATAAGAAGTAAACTTAAATTGCTGTAAACCTAAATAAGTAAAGCATTTCTTGAGAATGAAAGTAAATTGAAACTTGATAAGGGGTGTGGCATTAGAGTGAATTAAAATATTACCAAAATGCATAGGTCTGACAGGCAAATAGGGACTGGAAAAATGAAAGGATCACAACAAGGAGTGATCCAACAACCCGTACATAATTGACCTGTCTTAGATTTACTAATAAAAATACGAACACCACCTGTTGAAGAATGAACATCCTGAAACACGAGGCCTGAATTGCCTGCTTTGCTGTGTTAAACAACAAAGATTTAGAAGAACAAATGCAAATAATAGGAGTGGATAGGCAAAATTGTTTTAAGATGTCAATAGAAATGGGTCTATGATTAACCTCCCTAGCGGTGTGATTATTTCATATTTTTGGTGCTGAAAGCGGTACCATTATTTTGCATGGAAATATGTAGTTTTTTTTATTGTAGGCTGTAATTTTTAGGAATAACTCACTGAAATCTGTCTGAACAAGAGCCTAAATCATACATTTAATTCAATAATATAATCGAAATTTGAAATATAGCGCCAAGTTTGCACATCGCTGAGCAAAGTCGCAAAATCGTTTTCAGTGTCTGATGACGAATTTCTCCACGAATCATTATCACTCAATTCTGCAAGTGGTTCTGATTTACTATCGCTGTTCTCTAGCTGATCTACACCCGCTTTTGACCTAAAGGGACACTTTTTCGACGCCGTGGACTTTTCTAAGTTTCCAGGCAGAAAGAACAATCAAAATGCAGACAGGGGACAGGACAAAGCACTCAGGACAAAATGTATGTGAAATGGGTTGAAACAGCAATGTTTTACTATGTAAAATCATTTTGAAAAAAATGACATTTTTTTTAAATTTTCAAATTTCACGGCGCCCGTACGTCCCGACGTCACAGGGACTGGAACACAGGAGGCGGATGCCGGCATCGGCCGGAGGAGATGGCCGGGGACGCTGCAGGGGACACATCGCGGGAGCGCAGGACAAGGTAAGTGCTACAGGGACTCCCTATGCAGCGCCGCATGGTAAGCCCGAGTGTAGCTCGGGGTTACCGCTTTTGGTACTGACATTTTACCCCGAGCTACACTCGGGAATACTGTTAGGGAGGTTAATAAGCTACAAAATTAGATTTCTTATAGCCCTTAAGTATTTGCTTGACTAAAAAGAAAGCATTACACAGAAGAAAATGTTGGAGCGTAATGAAAAAAAGAAACCCAAGCCAAAATCCTTGAAATATTTTTATATTGTGCTGTTACCCCAACAGAAAGAGGGAGGGGAGCAGAGGAGGAGGAATTATATGTTACACTGAAAGTGCACTGAGAAAGGTAAGAGGAGAACCAGGAGAGAGCGTAGTCACAGAGGCCGATGGAGTGGAGGTTACTGAGGAGGAGCCGGTGGTCAGCTGTGTCAAAGGCGAGGCCTGGTTCTGCCTGTAGAGAGAGGATCAAGAGCATCCAGGCAGGATAATAGATAGTTGTTGTAGGCAGATGATGACAGGAGGGAGAGCCCACAGAAGACAACACAGCTCACCTCTTCAGGGCTCTTTCATCGCTTCTCTCCCAGCTCCAGGCATTCCCCTGGTCCTGGCTTGTCAGCTGCACGATCGTCACTCTGCAACTACCCTCCACATCGATCTTCCTGCTGCCCGCTGCTGCTCAAAGGGTCCCTTCTTCGGGGGGAGAAGGGGGTGGTGCCACCCCCTAAAAATTGCCGCCCTAGGCAAATGCCTTGTTTGCCTTGCGGTGGATACACCCCTGAGGACAGGGGTGCAATATTATCATAGAGGCACTGAATAGCAGAGTGAAGAAGGTCAAGGCTGAGGTGGTGGAGGTTTCTACAAGTAACGGTTTGCTGGTTGGAGGCATGGGAGATGGGAGGCAGGGAGAGTGTGAAGCTGATAAAGTTGTGATCAGAGAGAGGAAAAGGGGTGTTAGAGAGGTTACAGGGAATGCATAGGTGGGAGAATACAAGATCGAGGGATATACAAAAATTATTACAAAGCGGTCAAAGAAAATTATCTGCAACTCTGCCTTCTTTGATTTCTTTGAGATTTTTCTCTCTAACAACCTCACTATAAGTCTCAAATGATTTTAAATCACTGTAAAGCCCAAACCTGAAAGAATTGGAGGTGGAAAATGAAAAACCATTAATTAGGAGGATGGCTTTCTCCTTGCCTGGGCACAGGTAAAGCCATGATAACATTCTTTCCAGCCTCACAGACATGCAGGCTCTTTGGAAAAAAATATCCTGCTGAGGTGGATTAGGAATAGAATATGTTTTAAAACGCTTAGACAGAGGATGATTCCCAGAACAAAATGAATACTCATGTTTGTAGCGGCAATGTCAGGGCTCCAGGTATGACCAGAGGTGTGTGGACCGACACAGGGAAACACAGACTTCAGGTATAGCATGTAACACAATATAATTTATTAAAGGCAACACAAACATAAACGCAGTGAAAACAACCAAACTCAACACTTACATAAATATGTACAACCAGGTGCAATAAACCTAAATCTAATAGGTACCAGTGCAGTCAGGGCTGGAGAGGTGGAGCGGTCAGGCAGGCCGAGCCCACAGCACGGATTTCTTCAGGGGCGGGGTCTAAGTCCCAGCCTGCTATTCACCAGGGCCCCTGATGGTGGGGATGGACTTGGTGCAGACTGGAACCAGGTCGCGACCCCTGAGTGCGTCCGGCTGTGGTAGAGAGTACTGGCAGGGGAGTGCAGGAACGGAGTCTGATGGGAAGAGGCAGGCAGACTTACTAAAGTTGATCCGTGCGGGATGGATCGTCGGGTGAAGTAAGCGTAGTCAGACAGGCCGGGTCAGTATCGTGCGGGCAGCGTGGTACAGGAGGAGCTAGCAGAGAATGGTCCCGGGGTCACAAGACAGGTTAAGCAGGTAGCGGGCAGCGCGGTACCGAGGATCAGGCAGAAGGATGGTCAGGCAAGCCAGGGGTTCAACAGGAGACGGTCAGCAGAGGTCAGGGTCAAAGCAGGGTCAGCAACGAGGCAGGAACACAGGATACCAGGTACAGGGGCTCATGGGAAACATACACCAAGGCTCTGATCACAGGCCTGGTCATTCCTTAAATACACCTCCTGGAATCAGCCCCAGGTGTTGGCTGACTACAGGAGTGAGCTTCTGGCTGCTGAGAGCACCCGCTGGTCAGCCCTGGTACTGCAGCCCACACAGCAGGTGAGTCCCACCACCAGTGCTGAGTCCATTCCTGACAGTACCCCCCCCCCCTCAAGGAGAGGCCTCAGGACGCTCCAAACAGTCCTTAGTGGGCAAAATGTTCCACCGCCCGGGTCAGGTAACTGGCTGGATATCTTACTGCCGGAGTCAACCGGCTGGCTGGGTTTCCTGCTGGCAGACTTCTCTTTATGTAGGGGAACCCAGGAAGGCAGGTCGCTGGACACAGGATTTCCAGGAGCAGGCTGGGAATCAGTTATTGGCCAGTTTAGCTGGGCAGCGGACGGAGGCACGTCAGGCTGGCAGCAGACGGGGGGCACGTCAGGCTGGGCAGCGGACGGGGGGCACGTCAGGCTGGGCAGCGGACGGGGGAACATCAGGCTGGGCAGCGGATGGGGGCACGTCAGGCTGGGCAGCGGACGGGGGCACGTCAGGCTGGGCAGCGGACGGGGGCACGTCAGGCTGGGCAGCGGACGGGGGCATGTCAGGCTGGGCAGAGGACCGGGGCACGTCAGGCTGGGCAGCGGACGGGGGCACGTCAGGCTGGGCAGCGGACGGGGGCACGTCAGGTTGGGCAGCGGACGGAGGCACGCCAGGCTGGGCAGCGGACGGAGGCACGTCAGGCTTGACAGTGGACAGAGGCACGTCAGGCTGGGCAGCGGACGGAGGCACGTCAGGCTGGGCAGTGGACAGAGGCACGTCAGCGGGCACCGAGTCATCTGGCAAGACAGCGAGCACCGAGTCATCTGGCACGACAGCGGGCACTGAGTCATCTGGCACGACAGCGAGCTCTGAGTCATCTGGCAGAACTTCGGCACCGGGTCACCAAGCTCGACAGCGGGCACCGAGTCATCTGGCATGACAGTGGGCACCGAGTCATCTGGCACGACAGCGGGTACCGAGTCATCTGGCATGACAGCAGGCACCGAGTCATCTGGCTCGACAGCGGGCATCAGATCATCAGGCATCAGGTCATCTGGCTCGACAGCAGGCATCGGGTCATCAGGCATCAGGTCATCTGGCTTGACAGCGGGCAACGAGTCATCTGGCATGATAGGATCATCAGGCCGGGTAGGAACATCAGGCTGGGTAGAACCATCAGGCTGGGTAGAACTATCAGGCTGGGCAGAACAACCAGGCCAAGCAGAACCATCAGGCCGGGCAGAACCATCAGGCCGGGCAGACCATCAGGCTGGGTAGCGTACACTGGGTCATCAGGCATCAGGGTATCAGGCTGAACCATGGAAGGTGGGTTCTCAGACAGCAGACTGACCGGTTTGGATACTGGCAGGATGGTACTGGTTGGAAAGAATTTTCGCCTTTTCCTGGTTTTAGTTACTGGAGCACTGTAAGTAAGTGAAGGTTTGTAAACAGATAGAGCAGCTGTAGGCAGAGAAGAGCTGGGGGATGGAACAAAGGAAGGAGCAGTTGCTACAGAGGACTTCTTTACAGGGTTAAAGGCAGAATAGGTGCAGCGAGTGGGAGCAGGGTACTGACAAGTGGTAGGTAGTAGGGTATACTGGGCTGTCACTGGGGGTACTGTCGGGAATGCAGGAAGAGAGCTTTGAGCAGAGAAATGATTAGAAGAAGGACTGGTTTGTTGCAAGCTGACTGAGGTTGGGTGTAACAACTCTTACCATATCTGCAGTACGGGTTGAACAAAGCTCCGCTTACACAAAGCCTGTCTGGTCAAAGACTGCACTGCGTTTATACAATCCCTTAGTACCTGTTGTGAACATGCAGAATAATGCTCCAAGAAGCACTCCACATCATCCTCTAATAACCATACCAGGGACTCTACCTGGTCTGCACTAAATGGCGGCAAAAAGTCATTCCTGCTTTCAGGGGTACCAGATGAAGCCAACTCTGCACAAACCTGAATCAAAGGTTGCACCTTGTCATGGAAATTTTGTGTTGTTGGTCGAACTTTAAATGTGTCATATATTCGTGTTATTCATATGTCTCTCGTGTGGCTTAATTAAAGCTCTGAAGGCTGCAATTGGGCCATGCGCATGTACAATGTATGTATTACAGTACTCAGCTTGGTAATGGATGAGATGGCAGATCTGCGCTTATAGACCGGCGTGTATACCACCACGGCATTCCATGCGAATGCTGCTGTCAGTAGACCGTGGGCCTGTATCCACATATCAGCAGCATAGTACCACATGGGCTTCATAACGCAATGCGCAAGCGGTGTGAACTCCACGTGTAGGCTTATGCATATCTTACAACCCATTACCAACTTGAAACTGTATCTTGGATGGATGTGTTTTAATAAAGATCGTATCGGGCCCATCCAGGTACAGACTGATATTTTTAGGGAGTGCTTGTGCAGAGAATTTTACATACCAATAGAAGCTAGTAGGACAGGAAATATGACCTCAGATGGCTCATAGGGGGGAAGGGGAGGAAGTCTGCTGACCTCAGAAGACTCATGGGGGAGGACCAGTGATAGATAATAGCAAAGGCTATGCTCCAATTGGAATGTATATCCTCTGTATAGGCAATCCCCATTGTATTGTTCGGTGGGAGGGTTTGACTTTATTCATGTGGGGGGCATGTGTGTATTTTTAATAAAAACAGAGAGCTGAGCCTAAAGCGGGCCCTTATGTGAGTTGCAACCAGCCTTAGAGTGTCGTGTGATCATTCTAGGGTAACGGAGCTCCAATCACCCACAAATTCAACAGAACCAAAGTATTTGGATGGGCAGGAATCGTGTAGTTTGGCTGCAGTCGTGGTAAGCGAGATTCGCACAGCTTTATGGGGGATTTCTGCGCATCCAACTGCGAGTACTCACGGTAAGGAGAAATTCGTTAAAGCGAATTTCCAAGACAACCTCAGAGAATTCTGTGCCCTGATCTACTAGAACATGAGCGACCCATATACATTCTAGCAGTTGATTCCTGTTATACTCCTTCAGAGTCTGATAAGCATAATCTCTGTCATCAAAGACCAGCAGAGACAAATACATAACCTCATCAGGATGCATCCTTCCCAGCAACAAGCCAAGATGGCTTCCCTGTGCAGCCACTTCTGGTCGGGAATGGCCTTGGTGTAATATCAGGGCTCCAGGTATGACCAGAGGTGTGTGGACCGACACAGGGAAACACAGACTTCAGGTATAGCGTGTAACACAATATAATTTATTAAAGGCAACACAAACATAAACGCAGTGCAAACAACATAACCCAACACTTACATAAATATGTACAACCAGGTGCAATAAACCTAAATCTAATAGGTACCAGTGCAGTCAGGGCTGGAGAGGTGGAGCGGTCAGGCAGGCCGAGCCCACAGCACGGATTTCCTCAGGGCGCGGGGTCTAAGTCCCAGCCTGCTATTCACCAGGGCCTCTGATGGTGGAGATGGACTTGGTGCAGACTGGAACCAGGTCGCGACCCCTGAGTGCATCCGGCTGTGGTAGAGAGTACTGGCAGGGGAGTGCAGGAACGGAGTCTGATGGGAAGAGGTAGGCAGACTTACTAAAGGTGATCCGTGCGGGATGGATGGATCGTCGGGTGAAGTAAGCGTAGTCAGACAGGCCGGGTCGGTATTGTGTGGGCAGCATGGTACAGGAGGAGCAAGCAGAGAATGGTCGGGGTCGCAAGCCAGGTTCAGCAGGTAGCGGGCAGCGCGGTACCGAGGATCAGGCAGAAGGATGGTCAGGCAAGCCAGGGGTTCAACAGGAGACGGTCAGCAGAGGTCAGGATCAAAGCAGGGTCAGCAACGAGGCAGGAACACAAGATACCAGGTACAGGGGCTCATGGGAAACATACACCAAGGCCCTGATCACAGGCCTGGTCATTCCTTAAATACACCTCCTGCAATCAGCCCCAGGTGTTGGCTGACTACAGGAGTGAGCTTCTGGCTGCTGAGAGCACCCGCTGGTCAGCCCTGGTACTGCAGCCGACACAGCAGGTGAGTCCCACCACCAGTGCTGAGTCCATTCCTGACAGGCAAGAAGCATTCCAATTACATACAGTATGCTTTAATTAAAAACACAACCTTTCATTAAAAACCTAATGCCTGAACTTTGCTTTTATTGTTAGTTGTTTTAGGAGGGATTGTTTTCTGAGATAAAATTAGATTGAGCCACAGACCAACATCTTTCATATAACATTAAAGGTTCAGGTATACAGGAATAGAACCATGCTAGACCTCCACAATTTTCCTAAGCTTCCAGAATGATTTCAAGCTGTTTGGAAATTTTTTGCCAATAACACTTGAAAAGATGCCAAAAGCCTGAAGTCAATTAAAAAAGAAAAAGAATCTACACCTATCATCCTCAGACTTATACTCATTCCGTTTATCAAGTTGCAAAAAATCTTTTGATGACGGAAGCAAAGATAAAATATCAATAAAAGCACCTCTCCAAATGTATTCTTTCACACACAGTGGTAAATGAAAACCTAAAGGTGAAAATTCACAAGGTAAAATTCTTCAAAACAAGTTTCAGGTATGGCAGTTAAGAGGTTAACAGCAGCATTAACACCATTAACAATTGGTGAAGAGGTTAACAGAGATAGACATAGTGGAAACTGTGGAAAAGGAGGCCAAACAATACCTGGAGAAGGTGCAGAACTAGACAGAGAAGGTACACAAGACATTGGTTGTCAAGAAGTGAGGATATCTTCAAGTTTTGATAAAGAAGAAAGGAGGCTCTTAAATAAAGGTAGCTAAGGCAACTCACCAGCACTGGGAGCAGCACATGGGCTTTGGGCCACACTAAAACCTTCCAGCTGTTGTGTAGTGACAGAGCTGTCATCCAGGCAGGAGGAGGCAGGGCCAAGACTGCAGGAACAGAAGAGGCAGTAACATCCAGCGGGTATAGCCTGGAAGAGTGCTGATCTGGTTACTGGACAACAGGTTTCAGTATGGCCAAAATGGGAGCTGAAAGTCCTTTTTTGGAACCGACCACCACTACGTATTATTGGGTGCTGAAGAGAAGGCCAACCTCTGCCACTTGCTCCTTCTGCCAGTCAATCTTCTGCCAATAATGTTATTTCCAACTGTCGCAAACACGCGCCTCCGAGAAGGATGCGGTGCAACCATTTTGGTTTCAGACTCCATCTTGCTAAGGGTATCCATTTCTCTCCTTCCCCCCTTTCCCTTCCTGAGAGGCCAGTGTGTGTGTGTGTCAGGAATGTCACAGGAGGGTCATATGAGCTAGGTGTCGAGAGGTCTGTAGAAGTTGTAGCCTTTCTCTCCTAAGCCAAGATAAGGGCAGCTTTTCCCAGAGAGCCAGAGTCTTTCTGCCCAAGAACCTGTGTAATTTCACACCTCGTAAGGAGATAAGGCAGCTCTCCCAGGAATTGAAAGAATTGTAACCTCATAAAACCTAGTTCAGCGTAGGTGACAGGATCAGATAACTTCTGGTAAAATCAGTTTTTCCCCTATGTTTCATATCTTGAAATATGGAAGGCTTACATAAAAACCGGGCACCTCGTCAGATGGCCAATGCGCAAACGGACATTTTGATGGGTCACTCGGATCATCAGGGGAGCCAAAACATAGAACTCGTACACCGTGTGACGTACAATTTCATAATTCATATCTACATGATCCTTAGACTTAGCTGCATATTAAAATACCCGCGGAGAGATTGTCGCTTGTGCAGCTGGGAAGTTATAGGCCAGAATATGAATTATGAAAGATGCTGGTTCTAATTTTGGGTTTCGATTTTGGGTGCCAATCCCTCCCTAAACAGAGTATTGGTCAGTTACTCAGAGCCACCCCCCTGCTGGGGGACTTTAAAAAACAGGCTAGCAGGCCTAAAGAAGTTAAGTTGAAGACATCTCCTATCTTTCCATCATAACATATGGAGATCAAATCCCGCTTCTGCTCTGCAACTTGGATCTGCTGACCCAGGACTTTGGCAAGTACTTTAACTCTTCCCTTTCTCTCTGATATCTCGTTGCTGTGCTATGGTTCTTTGTGTATATATATATATATATATATATATATCTCTTAGTTACATCTTTTTTCTGTAAATATTTTTATTGCACCCTGTTTGACATTTTAGTAATAAATCTTCCTTTCTGAAAGTGTTGAACTGTTTTTATAGCTTTTAATTGCAATTTGTGAATCCCTGCCTTTAAAGAGACGCTACTGTTTGTTTAACCCTCTGTATAAAAGACCTGTGTTATGACCGTTTTATACAGACGATTATATCGACCATTGTAGTATCATAGCTGAAGCCGAGTTTCCTCTTTCTCTGTACCAAAAAGGAGGTGATGGCAGTGAATGGTTAATTGCATGATTAACCTGACCCAGTAACAAGCGCATTCAGGCTGCAGGCACAGATTGTAGTCCATTAGCTGGAAAATCGCTGTACAGGGTGCAGCTGGGTGTGGCATTGTGACGCACGTCACATCGCGATTTCCGATTGACCAGTCCTTCGGTCACGAGTTTGGTGAGAAGGTCTGGGGTCTGACGCCGCGATCGTGACACCAACCGGCTACTAACTAGCTTCCTCTTCATGCCAGTCCCAAAGCACTGAAGATGCCAGCCACTCCAGGGGATGGCTACACTGCAGCCAATAAGGAGAAGGTACCAGATCCTCTTGCTGGCTTGATTGGAGTCACAACTCTGGGGAATTGTTCAACTGTCTCCTTATTTTCTCACCTCTCAGCAGGTGAGCCAGGGCCAAGCAGTGCTGGAGCCATTCTTCCCCGCAATCAGCCTTCGCTCACTCCAGAATCTTCTCACTAGAGTCTTCTTTGCAGACCTAGGTGAGGTTAAAGTCCAACGTTCAGTCAACTGCAAAGCTTCCAGCAGAACAGCTGCCTTATATACTGGTCCAGATAGGATGCAGAACCTTCCAGATCAATATATGCTGTCAATCAACCACTTAAATTTTACCTGGACAGGTAAGCTCAAAATTTAAAAGGGACAATAAATCAAAAATTATGCATAATACCCAAGGTCATTTTTTTTTTTTTTTTCAAATAAATGATGGCAGGCCCATGTAAATGGTCCCATGTTAAATATGCCCTTTTTGGACAATCTAATTGTCCAAGGTCAGTGCAAACTTTTGGCTTTTTAACTTTTTTTTTTATCAAGGACTGTACATGGAATATGTATAATTTAGTTGTGTATGAAGGAAAAATGATTTTTGTTACATAGGCTGAAAAAAGACACAAGTCAATCTAGTTAAACCAATAGAAAAAATAAGTGAATAGAGAACCTCCATATACACAATCCTATATTGTTTTGGCGGTTTTCCTACCCACTCTTATTTACTTGGTTCTATACAGATTATAAACGTAATAAGTGATTATAACCTTTTGTCTATACCTGAATTTAGCCAATAGTGTTAATATTAAAAGATAACCACTGTGCAAAAAATAAAGATCTGATTTATTTACACAGCAAGGAAGCTTTCTATTAATCAAACACAACAAAAATATAATACAGAATGTTACCTATACAAAGACTACAAGAGAGAGATAGTTACAAGAAAAAGACAGAGCAATGGTGATACATTACAGCATCCTGAAGGTCTGAGGTCTGTGCTCTCGAAAGCACATGGCAGGAAAAGGGGAAGCTGAGGGGGTGTCCAAGGTGTTTTATGCACATTACAAAAGACCATCCCAAGAACCACCCACCCAAGTTATCTTCCAATGGGTGGGCTTCAGAGCAAGGTACACAAAGAAGCAGCTGCCTTCCCCCTCACCTCCATTGAGTCTTTTGTGTAATCCCCCTCCCCCCCACAGTCACAGTCAATAACCTTCATGAAGATGTAGGCCCAAAATTGCCATTACAGTTCCCCCTCAAGTTCATTCGAGAACTTATGCCCTCCCTCAATGATTTTGTACCCACCCATGACCACCCAGAAGGCCCAACCCCCCCACCACCACTGCGGCCTCCTCTTCTTTCTTGATCACGAAGGAACTCCTAGTCCTGGTGCCTCCGAGACCTCACATTCGCACCATGAATGCCTGTGCTGCGATGTTTCCTCACCCCTCTGCCTTGGAAGGATGGAACTCC